CTCAGGTTCATAGGTGAGCCACAAGGTCCCTGCCCGCCCCGCTGCAGCTCGGCCCCAGCCCCGGCTGCTGCATCCACTGCGGGGGAGCTGTGACACTGCTGGAGCCCTGACAGCATCTGTGTTCCCAGGGATCGCAGCCAAATACCTGAGAAAGGGGGAGGAGCAGGATGAGTTCATCTCAGAGGTCATAATTGAGGGTGAGTGTGGGCAGTGGGCTGTCAGTGGGGGCTGGTGGAAGAGTGCAGACCCTGGGCAGGGAGCTGCAATCGTGCTCCAAGTGTGGAGGGCTTTGCTTCCTGCATGTGCAGAGCAGAGAGAGATTTCAGGGACACGGGGGTGTTGGTGGCCAGCACCTTCTGGCTGATCCCATTGGGCCCTGCTCCCTCCTGGCCACGGCAAGAGCTGGGTGGGATGGCCCTGGCAGGAGAAGCTCCTCGGGGCCCTGCAGATGCTGGCTCTGATCTTGGCTCTGTCCTTTTCTCTTCCAGCCCTTCAAGGCATGACTACTGACAGCCCTGCCATCACAAAGCGGGCAGCTGAAACCATGAGAATCATTAAGGATTTCCAGAAATAAAAACCAAAACCAAAACCCACACCAAAATCGAAATCTAAACCCACCAGATTCCGGTAGCCTCCGTTCCTCTCTGTTCCAGCCCTGAGGAACGAGCGAGGACATCAGAGTCGGCATCGCAGGCCTGTCAGTTCCAAACTGTACATGCTAAGAGCTGGACAGACAGCTCCCTGCTCCAGATTGCAGCAGCTCCAAGAGTGGCTCTGGAGAGGAAAATGGCTCTCCTCTGCAAGGACTGCCTTTTACACCAGCGTGGGAATATCAAATACATCTCTACATCTTATCAAAGACAGAGACTCAGGAAGTTTTTTTGAGTGCCTGGTGTCCATAGAGGGAAGAGGGGAAGAAGGGCCCTTGTGCTCAGCAACACTTGCCCAGGGGTGCAGTGGGGAGGGGAAAGTGCCCCAAAGGCCCTTGGCCTTGGGGGGTTCTGCTGGAGCCTCAAGGCTTGCAGCAGAGCAGATGGGCAGAGCCTGGAGCTGTGGGGATCCCTGAGAAGCTGGTGCTTGGAGGTGGCCACACGGCCTGTCCCAGCCAGGAAGCAGCACGTGTGGCCTGCCCCTGCCAGGATGCCAAAAGCGGGGATGCTGTGGGCACAATTGCACGGGCTTGGGCCAAAGGCTTCAGGAAAAGTGGCCACAAGGGCTTTCTATTGACTGCCCAGCCTCACAGCAGCGCTTGGCAGCTTCAGCCTGTCATCCTGACTGACTTCCACGGCCGTGCCTGAGGGCAGACTCACCTGCCACACTCAGGTGTCTCACAGCGGTGGCACTGCTGCCATCCTTAGAGACTGGGATGGGATATCAACCTTGGGGTGCAGCTGCTGAACCTCTCCTCCATGCAGGCACCTCAAAAACACATGCATGGGCTTCTGAACTCTAAATCCAGGCCTTTTTGGAATGGAAGGAAAAAGCAGCAGAAGCTGAAGCAGGGCCTTGTATGGCTCAGCTTCCAGGATGGAGGGAAGTCAGTCCTTTGGGGTCTGCTGTGAAGATGGCCCAGTTTATGGGCAAATGGGAAAACAAAGGCAGAACCCGTGACCATCCTGGCTTAAGAGCGAGTTTTGAGTGTGCTTGGAAGCAAAGGAAGAAGCAGCACACACTGCCTGAGACACAGACACGTGCCCATCCCACCTTAGGGAGCACTGCCAGGCAGTGCCTGGAGACCGTGGCCAGGTCTGGTCCCCACAGTTCAGGAATCGCAGCCCCTGCATCAGACACAGTCAGAAATCAGACCAAAGGAGGCCAGAGGGAGGGGACCGTTCCAGTCTGTCTTGGACATTGCTGCAGAACAGCCACTGCTTCTTCCTGCACCTGTATCTGGGCTCTGCTGACACCAGAGCCACCCAGGCTGTGCTCTCGTGCCCAGAGGCTGTTCAGAGCAGGCAGGAAAAATGCTCCGTGCACAGAGGAGAGTCCTGGACGTTGCTCACCAGAGCACCCTGCGGGAACAGGGATCTGGTGTCGGGGTTTGCTGCCGGGCCTGAAGGCAGGAGTTCAGGGATCA